TCAATGCATAATTTAACGTTCTTTAATTTATCAAAAGGTGCATTTTTCGCTTTGATGCACCGTTTAAGAGTTGCAGGTGAAAAAACAAAACAATATCGAAAAAACTCTCTTTTATGGCTGTAAAAGTTTTCCCTTGGTGGCCCACGTTAGCAATTTTTTTTTGCACGTCCAAACCCATACAGACAAGCAAAAACTTAAAAAACTACAAAAATAAAAACTTTCCTCACATTTTTCGCAATGGATTATCTATCCTGAAATCGCTGAAAACATTGGTTCTCTGGGGTCAGAAAAGGTTCTTTTTACTCAGAATAACATACACTTTGTAATTTACAATCAAACCTTCGCATGCGATGAGGTCGATTTTTGGGCCCTGGCTCCATTGTTACATTTGACCTGTCCATGAAAGGCAATGCAAATCTTGTAATTCCATTTAAGTAAACTTTGCAGTGGAAAATAACAGTTTAATAACTAATAGTCTTACAATCCATAATCAACCACTGGCATGACAAATAGGATTTTTGTTATTTTAATGATATTAATGATTTGTTAGCTGTAAACTTTAAGCTTTAGCTCGGTTAAAAATTCACTTAAATTATAATGGCGCAACATTGCCAGAAAATAATTTCTATGGAAAGTAGGGCGGTAAGTGAAATTTCGGTGTTAGAAAAACCGAGACTATCGTGAAAAAAAAAAAACCTTAAATTTCCCATTTTTCTGCGAAAAATCAGACTATAATTTATATAAATTTTGTTGTAGCTCTTGAAGTGTGCTATCACTCCTTTAAATGTCTCAGTGCGCGTTGTTTATTTAAAGGGCCTTGGCTTGAGTACTTAGAAAGGAAGCACTGTTTCAAGGCGAGCGGCAAGAGGCAATATGACCGAGATCACGCTCAACCCTCAGGTTTTTTTCAATTAATTAACTAATTAATAAGAGTACCCCCAATATAGAGGCTGGATGTGCCTGAGGGTCGATCAGCGGCTAGTGGAACAGAATAAATAGTTACCTGCCACATTTAGTTACCTAGTCAGTGCCGGGGCAATAGCCCAAGGGCAGTACACTTGCCATTTGTTAGAAATAAAAAATAAATACAACAAATAGTAAAGTAATTAATTTTAGCATACAAATAAAGCAACTTTATTGGAGCAATGTTGGATGATATAAAATTCGAATATTACATAATATACAACAGCTTAACAGATTAAATTTATTTTTTTAGAGAGGGGTCATGACGTCATTGCCCGGGAGCGCCGAATGTCTAAGGCCGGCACTGTACCTAGTAATGGATCCTGAAAAAATATAAAATTCGTCATTAAACATCGCACAGTTACCAGGATGTATTAAAAGTAATACGAATATGTTGGAATAAAACTCTAATAGTAATCACGTTCTTACTTCAAATTTAGATTATATTTTCTGTATAAGAAATGGTAAACAACAACGATGTTTTTAAGATGATAACACTTTAACAACTATTTTACAAATATTAAAAATAACTTGATGCATTTAAATGTTGAAGGTGGAATGTTCATCGCTATATTGATCTACCTGAAATAAAATAAATAATTAATAAGAGAAAACTTTTTATTTATTAACTAAAAATCAAATTATGACATTAAATTAAATCTCTTGCCCACCGTCTATGTAATCGTTGTGGTGGCATGTTGGGATGTCTTATGTGTTGAAAGATTTGTCAGTGGATTCATGTTGTAGGTCAGTCTTTGATAAAAGTTTTTGTAATTTTCTTTGGTAATGTCTGAAATTGTAGGGGTGTTATTATATAAGTCATATAATTATATAAGTCCCTGAGTATTATTTAATTTTCAAATTAAAATATCCTCAACACTTTCTACTGAAAAGATTGAATTATTTTAATTTTGAAGGTTTTAGCAGAACTTCACAGTTCTACGCCATACATCCAGATATCAGATTTCAGCAGAACTTTAGGGTTTCACAAAACACGTCTACATAACAAACTAAATTCAAATCACACAGTACAAAATACTTCGAAAAATCATAAATGCATCTTGGTTTATCTCATTCACAATATACGTGACGACATGAATATACCAACAGTAGAATGCTACATACATAAAAAATACACAACATTCCACACTTCAACGATTCATCATCCAAATCCAGTTGTCCTCTCTGTTTCTTCCTTCCTGTTACCTGACAAACCTCGATGAATACTACAAAAGGCAGTAGCCTAGAGATCTGCTAACAATATGAAAAAGTTAAGAAAAAATAAGAAAGAACGAACGACAACTCATTTGCTTGATGCGTTGCAAATATAATGTAAAGTAAAAAAAAATACGCGTTATAATTTTAAAATGGTATATATCGCTCATGCAATTGAACCACACGCAAGTGTAAAACTTTGTCATAAAGAAGGGTTTAATAGAATTGACAACATAGAATAATACGAGCTAAAATTGAATGGATAGAATTTTATAACTGAGAAAATTCACATTAAAAATTACCTAAATTATCCCCACATATCTCCATATATATTATTACAGTAAGGCTCAAAATCGGTTTTGTATCAAATATAAGCTCCTGTCATGCTCAAATACCATGAATGGGGTACCGTTGGATTCAGAATTTCACGGGGGGTTAGCGAATCGTATTCTCCACTTTTATTTTCCTTTCTAAAATAAATAAAGTCGATACAAACATTTTGCTAGGCTTCGATACTGGAACGGTGGTAGGTCTGTAGATCGATGCGGGACAAATTGGACCTTGATTTTGATGCGTACAGCAAGACCCGGATAGTTCCTCCGAAACTATCGGATCCTGCGTTTTTAAGCCCAAAGAAGTACTATTTTCGAGATAAGGCAAGGCATGGCGTTCGCATCCAAACAACCTAACGTTAATTGTAGTACTGTCATTTATAGTACAGTTTATATTATTTATCTATGGTGTTTTTGATCGGCAAGCCATATCATCGTTAATTCTTCATTACACTTTTCCCTCGGTTATTCCAATGATTATATAAAACATTACTTAATTGTCTACAAAATGAAAAAAAATCCTGGAAATCGGACAATTTTTCGCAAAGATACAGTATATTGAAATTTGTAAATATGTTGGTTCCTAACAAAAATGAAGATTTAAATTAATTTTGTTTCCTTTGTCGATTATATTTATTAATAAAGTAACAATTGATTCCTTTATCTTTTGATACGTTGCATTATTTTCTTTTCTTATTAATTTGGCATTTGATGACAGTATGCTGTGCGAATTTTTAGCACGGGCCTACTAGTGGCCTACTAGTGTACTTTTGCAAAATCTCTATCCAGCACCACCCATCCATATAATCCTCCAAGGAGGTTAAAACGGCAGTGGCCCCGCGATCTTTTATAGTTTGTAAATATTGGAGTTCTGGCAATGGCCAGATTCTCCACTCACGACATGAGTGTATGTGGCTAAAGCACTCTTGCTCAATCTCCACTGGGTTTAGCCCTAGTGACGCGGTTGAGAGAGGAGTGCAGGGAACTCCTGGAGTCATACTTTTCCCTCCACAGTTGAAGGGACAAGTCTGGTTTGGAGTTCTCTCGCCGAGTTGTAAATATTGTATATAGGTGTGCAAGTGTTCTTTTTATTTATTTATTTTTAATTTATTTTATTCTTGTTTATTGTATATATATTATTTTTCTGTATAATTTATTTTATTTACTGTACATAGAGTGTGAATGTGATCTGTGAACACTATTATTAATGTCCCTGAGACAGATTGTAATATATTTCAATAAATAAGCTATTAGGAATAAAAAAAATTTCTTATTAATTTGGCATTTGATGACAGTATGCTGTGCGAATTTTTAGCACGGGCCTACTAGTGTTATAATAATTCCAATTATCTTAACTCTCCAACTAAATCTTCTTATTTGCAGTTCAATATTGTACCAACGAATGAGAAATATTGTGATTTTTACAGATTTAGTACCGATCACTCACACAAGCAACTATGAAAGAATGGAAAAAAAAATCTATTTGGAGGATCATCAGCCCGAAAGCCCAATGCCCTTCCTTTGCTCGTGGATCTACGAGTGTCTTTAAAGAACAGTAATGATTTAAAAATAAATAAATAAAACTACGATATGCTTAAGACCACATGATAGGAGTGAAAACACCAACAAGACGGGATTAATAATAAGAAATATAAATGTTTTTTATTCATATTCACAAAGTAATTAATAACATTTTGCAACAGAATACCAGAAAATATTTAAATATTTATACATTTGTATACAATGAGACGTCAATTAGTATAAGATAATTATGCAGTATTGATATTTTTTTTTAATAAAACTTCTGTTACGGGAATCAGTAATTCGTCGATACACTATCAAGTTTAACAGAAAATCGAATAGAAACACCTTATACCTTCCTTATTTTTAGGTCTAATTAAAACAAATATCTATATTGTTTTCAGCATATGGTTTCTGAATTCTCCATGGTAATTAAATTTTGAGTTATTTCATTCCAAATCTTCAAAACAGTCGTTATTGTTCAGTTTTTCAGCGCTATTTCTTTCTCTATTCGACATTCTAATTCGGCGTCAAGTCAAAATATAATTTTAAATTATAGCTCATTACTAAGAGAATGAAATGCTGAAAATTTTTCCTCACTTGCAGTATCCAAATCGGAATTTTAGTTTTTGAGATATGTTCGAATATAATCCAAATGTTCAAAAAACCTATTTATCATTAAGTTTTTTACACTATATTTTTCCCTGTTGGCTCTCCTACACTACGTCGAAATACAATTCTGAACAATGGGTCATTACAAATAGAATGAATTGCTAGAAATTTGTCTCGCTTACAGTATGCATATCCAATTTTTAGTTTCTGAGATATTTTAATCCACATGAAAGAACACTTCAATTAGTCGACGAGAGCCGACTTTACCCGAATGAGCGTTACTCAGCCGATCGCGACGGCTCTGTCTCTATCAACAACTACAAACTAAAGTACTAAGGAGGATATCGACAGCTGAAGATGACACCCGAAATCCGTGGACACTGGGTCAGCGCTGGATCCGTTAGCGGCGGACCGTTACCTGTCTTCCGGGCTCGGTATATCCTCGCCGCCGAAGGGGTTTCACTCTCTCCATCTGTTTTCCTTTATATCATACCCGATCTTCTTTTGTCATTTTTTAAACTTTCAGGACTTGTGGTACCGACCAGAGATCGCAATTGTCATGCTTAGGTGAAATGCAGTCAATAGTTATAAAAGACCGATTTTATATGTCGAGAAAAATAGGAAGTATATCAGTCCTATTCGCGTGCGAATCTACGGGGGAGGGAGGGCTTTGGGGCTGAAGCTCCCCCAAAATGGTTAAATATAACCATGTTTTATCGAAAAAAATATTAAAAAATTATCTCTTAAAGTATTATTGTTCGTGTAATTGCATTGAAAAGGAACTTAGGAATCACTTAAACACCATTTCACATAGGTAGTTAGTTTCTTTCTTTTTTTCCAAAGTAATTATCGTTATTTTTATGAAAAAAAAATGCTTTCGGCCTGAAGCCCCTCTAAAATTAAATCCTGGATCCGCTAGTGGTCTTATTACAGTCTCATGATCCATATATCTGAAAAAAAAAATAACAAGAAAACTATTAGTTTAAACTGATATATTCCTTTAAAGAACCACTTACTCAAATTAACCAATTTACATCTTTTCTGCTCTAACTAAGGTATGAATCCAGGAAAAAGGTACTGCAGGGTATATTCCTTCCCTACCAAGCCCTTTATATCTGATTCCTATAAACGTAAGCAATGTAATGGGCTTATTTATGTATAATCAATGTTCTTAATATTGCAAGGTCTAATAAATTTAAGAACGTTTAACAAACAAGATCTTATAATTTGTTTTTATACTTATATTTATATGCCCTGGAGATAAAGGACACAATGTCCATTTTTAAAAAAATGATTATTAATTAAGAAACAAATTTTTAACTACTTCATATATCTGATTTCTACAAACGTAACACACTACCATATTTATATGTATATATATATATATATATATATATATATATAAATTTATCTACTAAACTCTTCCAGCTACATGAAATTCATATATATTAACTTCCTCACAATATAGAGCTGGAAGAATTTAGTTTTAAAATAAGAATTTAAAACAAATGCTCAGGTGTCAATCGGGAACGTTAGTCGCTAAAGATATACTTCACTGCTAAAAAAAACCTCTCAACAGAAACCTGTTTTTTTTTTCTATGCCGAAGTCGTTGTTCATTCGGTAACGCGTGCAAAATTAAAGCTATTTCAGATATATAATAATAAAAAAAAATCTGCACATTAATAACGTATACAAAAATATTAATTTGAGTGTAAAAGGTGATTTTTATAACCCGAAACTAACAAAAGTATGTAATAAAGATTACTATGGAAGATAAAATTATTTATATACATACCTAGATGATTTATTTTCTGATCTCTATTTTTTTATCACAATTTAATCATTATTATTTATGTAATACCGTATGAATCAGATAGTGATCATTATTTGTAATCGAATCAATAATCATCAGCGATCTATTTAATTTTTTTAAATTTATAAATCAGGCATGCTTTTTATATTGCTAATCAAATATAATAATTATCACATGATTTTGGAAGAAAAAAAAAATATCGATTTCAAATCCTTCTTTTATCTATCATAATTTACAATTGCTACTATTTCCCTTTATTTTAATATAGACAAGAACTAAAATCCAAGCTCAAAAGTAAATTACAAATAAGTATCCTATTGTAAATTTTAACCGATTTTTATTTCTAAAAAATGTGAAATTAATTCAAACGTTAACGGCAGCAGCCATTACTAGGTAATAATCCATGGCCGTAGTTCCGCAAATAATGTCTATTGAGCGACTATTAGTGACGATTTAGTAAAGTACTTGGCAACGTTTTAGTGAAGTACTAACTAATTACCAGCATCTTAACGACTATATCGGAACTCTGGGAGCCTGTTTGGAAACGTCAATTATGAAGGCCAATTCTGGCTTCCGAAACTAGTCATCTTTAAGCTTTTCACTTCTCGCCATGACATTAATTCAGTTAGGCAATATTGATGCCTTGCATAATGTGCCCAGCTAATATTCTATTTCGAGGAATCTCTTTAGATATTGATTATCTTGATTGCCGCTTTCCGAATCTTGTTTTCCGTGATGTTCAGCGAGTTCTCTGGAAGAAGCGTGGCCCAGTGTTTACAGCTCACAGACGGGTTCCCGTTGGCTAAATAGGAGTGCTTATATCAGCACGCGGTATCATCAACGATGAATATGCAGATCGGATGGGGAATGTTGTGACTGGGCAAGAGCAGAATCATGCAGTTGCAGACTGGAATGACGGCGTCAAAATTTTTCTATTTCCATCTCAAGCAAAGATGAACGGAACTCCGCAGAAACATGAAGTAATAAAAAAGCGTATTTTGCCGGCATAAGATATAATTGGTTATTATTTTCTATGAGTTTTGTTTTAACTTAAAGCAACATATTCAACTTGAAGATAAACATAAATCCTATAAAATCGCCTTCACACCTTAACGTAAATCAGTTATTTCCTGCCCTGTAGTATACTTTAATAGTACGCCACTTTTCTCTGTTTAACAGAACTGATACATAGGACTCCAACTGGTGTTTCTTCGAGTGAAACGATACGAAAAAGCTCGAAGTTTCTAACTACTTATTAGACACGCTCAGAGCATCCAATTAATTATAAGAGATTCACGATTATAATAAGACATATTTGGACTTTTGAAGTTGAACTGTAGGGTCCACTAAACCATCGAATTCATCTCTTATCACGTTCTAAGAATCCAAAATCTTTATTGATCCTTACTTCATCATCTGTAATGATCTCAATGTTTCATATGTTGGGGATTTGGCCCAATCTAGATAACTATCCTTCCATAATAAACTTCAGAACTATCCGAATCCTCTCGCTTCGAACCTCGCTTCCTCGTCGATTCCTGATAACCATCGAAGGCGTCTGAATCAAGAACTTCTATTAGAGTGGTACCAATGGATAGTTTCTCTACAGGTCTTTTCATATCATTCGTTATATCTCTTTGTTTAGATTTATAGTATTGCAGTGCCACCTGTTGGGGTTCCCTCTGTATTTTTTTCTTATTCCTGGATTTAAATCTCGATGCTGTGTGTCATGTTCTTCTCTCAAACAAAACAAGCATTCTTGTCGTAGTAATTTGAAAAATTCCAGGTATTTGTTGGTACAATACCAAGAATGTTACTTGGTCTAATATTTGGAGGAGCCATATACTTGATTTACATTTTTAATTTCAATTGATGATTAAGTCTCTTATGTTCAATAGGCCAATAGATTACTTAGAAAGTGGGTGAAAACTAGTACGATAAAAAAATTTCTTTCAAAACTTTTGAAACAAAATATAAAATACTGCCATTGGACCGATGACATTATTTTTATTTCGTTGTGATATTCATAATATCCTTTCGTGAGTAAAACCAAACCGTTAATTTCATACATCACAACGTTTCCCTTAGCTTTGGATCAACGACATCATTATTATTCAGGAGGCGTTGGAAGGAAGATAAGAAACATTTTGTAATATAGAAATCATTGGCGAGAAACGAAAGGAACAATACACTATTAACGATTGCTGATGTTGGTAGCTGATATCGAACAGTGTCTCTCCCATTGCAACACCGCTGCTTCGCTTCCCACTGGATCCACACATCACACTCACCGCTGTCAACAAAAAAAAAGGGGGGAGGGCTCAAGCACATACAGATTATAACACATTCACATTTCTGAGAAAATCAAATTTAAACTTTCACACTGTTACAATTATAGCAATATATAGCGTTTCGCGTTCTATAAGGCCATTACCAATGAAACTTTTTTTAATTAAGTCGTTTCAGAATATATTTCTTTGTACCTATAAGTTTCCTAATTCATGTTTTCTATTCTCAGGTATTTTTTTTTTTTTTACTAAATCTTTTTTATCAATAATAGTAATAAATGCTGAATCAGGTAATGTATAAGCTAAATTCTCGTTCCTTCATCGTTTATTTATTTAGACATATAATAATATGTCTCGTGGGCAATGATTATAGTGATATATGAATACATTTACACCATATATTCAGAAAATATAAAATTACTAAAGTAAAATAATAACTAAATAATAATAAAAAACTATGTACTTAAAAAATAAAATAACATAAAGATAAGTAAATTAAAAACGTAAAAATACAGTCATACCTATATACAACCAGGCAGGGAACCCCAAGCCAGTTATCTCCCTCCAACTATAGCAGGAAAAGAAGAACTCTAAGAGATCCCTGCGCTACTCTCTCAACCACGTCACTGGTGCTAAAGCCATTGGGAATAAGCTAAATTAAAAATAAGAAATCAGTTTTTCAAACTCTGGACAATGACGAATTTCGTGCAGAGGTTTAATATGATGTAAATCCAATTCTATCGTTATCCATTTTTTCTATAAACATTCAAATGTCTAATATATTGTTGAATTAGAATTAGGTTTTATCTCTCGCTACAACGCTTTACACTTAATCTTAATTCATAGGCTGTAACTCAAGGATAGATAAGCTTTACATGTATTAATGTTATAAATTTAACAAATACGTTATATAACCAAAAGCATGCAAAAATCAAATGTTTGTGGTTTTATATATATATATATATATATATATATATATATATATATATATAATTCTACGAATTTTGAATTCTTCATTTCAATATTTTACTGTAAGTTTTTAGTTTTTTTTGTTACTGCATAAACATTCGGTCTTACTGATAATAAAAGTAAAATAATTAAGTCATAAAAATTATTAATATTCCAAAATTCCATCTTTGAAAAAGATAAATACAATAAAAAAGTAATACTTATAACATGGTAAACACTTCTTTTGAACATCCCCTTTCACTTCTCCTATCTCGTATCTTCTTCTCACTTCCTCCTTCCGATTTAATCAAAAGAGAAAAAAAAAAAACATATTTCAGTACCTCTGGATTGGTGGTGGTAATAGCTGGATTTTTTAAAGTATAATTTTTTTTTCCTTTTCATCTTTTCTGTAGAACCTTCAGAATTCATCTAACTATCGTGATTCTACAACGTGATTCTGCCATAACAGTGACTCCATAAAAATAAATTGATGAAAGAAAGAAATTGTGATTATAAAAAGCCACCTTGATATTTTTTTCTCGTTGAAACGTGTCGCAACGCATTCTTCGAATTAAGCACGACTGGCTCGTTTCTGATTGTCGAGGAATGGAAATAATATCGAGCTTATCAGATTGGATCACCAAATCATTAATGTCAATTCATGAAATAATAATTACAGCTATCCTTATTAAGCATGTTTTTTAATATTAAATATATATATATATATATATTTAATTTTATTTATTCAATATCTTTACTCATAATTGTCTAAAAATGGCATTATGGAGTAGTGAATTGCATGAATAGAAAAAAGGGCGATAGCTTGAGATCAGCGGAAGGAAATTAAGGGTTATTTTAAATTATCTCTTACACTTATAATGTATTTTGAATGTTTACATTTTTCATTAATTATATTACATTTTTTCATTTTTCTCGATAAAAGAGGTTCTATTATAGGACTGTTTTATAATAATTAATTAAATGAAATAGTAGTTTCATAAAATTATAAAATAGAATATAAAATAGTTATGTTTCAACTTCCAAAAAGGCCAAAACATATCTCTATAAACCGGCGGCAGTTACGTTTTAATATAACATAGTATATTCATACTTTATGGGCAAACTTAAATTTAAATTACGACATTATAGCTAAATTCGGAGCTATTGTTTTTTATTTAGTTATTGTTGGTGCTGGTACTATGAAACTCTATGAAATATCATTTAAGCTTGCTACTTCATAGACATACATCACTCACTCACACACACACACACACACACACACACACACACACACACACACACACACACACACACACACAGTACACAGCACCACGCGTTGCTCGGCAACCTGATATACGAAATAAAATAAGTACGAGTTCGTGTCGTGATGCCAGTGGGGTTTTAACTCAGGAATTAATCCTCCGATCTCACCCCCTGACCCGGAAAAACCTAGTATAGCCTAAAGGCGAGGAAGGGGAGGACTAAAAAAAGAAGAAAAAAAATAAATCTCACTCGACCACTTCACTGGTATTAAAAGCCAGTGGAGTAAGGGTGATGTAGAAACACATTACTTGGGGGCGGGGTGGCCGAATAGGCTAAAGCGTGTGCACAGCACCGCTAGTTGCCTGGCAACCGGATAACAAAGATTTGAGATGATATAAAAAGTACGAGTTCGCGTCCCGGTGTCGGAGGGGATTTTAAATTCCCCGCCCTCACCCCCCGGCCCGGGAAAATCCCGTATAGCCTAAAAGGCGAGGTAGGGAAGAAAGAAAAAAAAAAAAAAAAAAGAAACACATTACTTGAGTGGAGAATCAGGCCATTGCCAAAACTTCGATTGTTATTCTTTTAGTTGTACGGCTTAAAAAATCGTTTTATCGCCGAAATATCAAGCCATAAAAAAAAAAAAATTATTTCCACTTCCAAAAAATGTTTATTAATTTTTTTCGTTCCTCTCTCACTGTTACTTTTCAAAAACTGGACTGAATCCCTAGGTTTCGCCTACATAAATCTGGTCCTTGTCAAAATCGGGAATTTCGTCTGGCTATCTATGCGTCTATCCATTGGTATTATTATACAGTTGGTAAGCACTGCTGCCATTTGCCATATCCTGAACCGCCTCTAGCTTCTTTGTCTTTTGCTTCTTTACTTCAAACCTATAAGTTATCGCCCCAACTCGCTATATAGTTCTGATAGCAGCGGTAGCATGTTTTAAAATAAAGGATTTTCTGAAACACAACAGTATTCATCGCGTTCCTTCATCCGATTCCTGACTGCTCCAGGAACAGAAGACGTAGAAGGCAGCAGAAGAGACCAGAATGACTATGTAGTGGAGACGCGTAGCGGCCACAGAGCAGCCGAGACCTTGACGAAGCTGTCAACCGTTGTCAACTCTCTAATCTAGCTTTTCCTAGCAGTTGTTTGACAATCGCTAATTTCCCCTCATTTCAGGGACGTACAAATGACTCAACTGTAGGCAATTGAAAATAATCGATTATTAGAATAAAACTAGATATTAACTGTTTGCGAATAGTAAGTTGTTAATAACTGTGATTTTATTAATATAATATAATTCTTTATTGCACAATAAACGAAGATCATTCTTGACATTGAATAAATTATTTACCACCTTGAATCTTTGACTACCTCAATTTTTATGTAACTTGACTAAAATAGAAAATCTGATAAATCTCTTTGATTCATCTTTGTTACTAGTTTAGAATTATCATAATATGATGCGAAATAATCATTTTTGTGGCCTATAAAGTGTAAAGTGAGAACAAGAAAATTAAATCTCATGAACGTCACGACCCATTAATGAGTATAGAATATTGCTAGAAGTTTTTTCACATTAAATTTTGGGGTAACAAACTACTATTTAATATCTAATTGGTACATTTATTTTAAAAACGATGCTCTTCTATTTTTAGCAGTTATTGAAACTACTCATAAAGAAAAAAAAACAATTCCAGCTCTAGTCCAGATAATTAAATAGTACTTGAACCCAAAATATATTATGCATCGAATTCCATCTCTGCAATCGTATAAAATACTTTATTGTACTTGTTTGATCTATGGGTTGAGGAAACAAAGGGTTGTGACCTTTGATAACTTCAATTCAGATTAATAACTTAAAACCTGACTGTGGAATTTATTTCTTCTAATGAGCTGCCCATTAGAAGGCGAATAAAAAGAAACTGTGTGAGAGACTTCCCTTCATGAATCAAGAGACCACCAAGGAAATCGGAAAGAGGCATTGCAGGGTCACTATCTTTCTCCGCAATCATAATTCTTCAGCATGAGAGCTTATTGACACTTTTACCTGTGACGGATATGAACAGAGAGAAAAAAAAGAGTACTCTAAATACAGTGATAAGTAAAAGTTGTGTGATGCACCGCAATAGATTTTTTGAAGTGAAAATTTCTTTAGGCGCGTTTACCATAACAGTTCTTCATCCTAGGCTTGACTATAACCATTGGTAATTGTTAAGCTTCTGTTTATATCTATAGATTTTTGAACTGAAAACTTCTTTAGGCACATTTTGTGTAGAGAGTGAATTAGATTGATCAGTCAGATTTCCGAAATGTTATCGCTCGGATAATGTCGGCAAGAATTTGAAATGTTTTTTACATATAGATTAAAGTATATCAGAAACTAAAAATCGGACCTGCATATTGTATCTTTGTATCTAACACCGTGTTAGTGAATAGAAAAGGAAAAAATAATGTCAAATAACTAAATGATAACGAGTTTTATGGAAGATATGGTTTAAAATATCTCAGAAAATAAAAAACGGACCTGCATACTGTAAGCGAGTTATATGTTCAGCATAATATTTTTTTTATACTGTTATAATTTATAGTTTATATTTCATATTATTAATATAGCATTGTTGGCGTTTTCACTTACATGTTGTGGTCTAAAGCACACACCTTAGTTATTTTTTTACTGTATTACACATTATTAAATTTTCAAAACGGAGTTGCAGTAATAGTCATAGTTATTTTAAATCGATAATGCCCAATCTGCTATGGCTGAAAATCAAATATTCCTTTACACAGGATAGAATAAATTATAGCATGGTAACTGAATTGACTGATTGAGATCGAACTGGGAGACCCCGTGGTTAAAAGTCGACCTCCGTGATATGCCCTCTAGATCTGCGACCCTTGAAGAAGTTTCGCTCTGGTTCTGAAGATGATAGCTCGATTGGTTGACTTGAACACATTAGTGAATTTAACGGCCGCCATCTACAAGACAATATAAATTGAGAATCCTTCTAACTTCTATAATTTGTTCATCAGCTCCGCTAGTTCTAACCTAGATTCTATAGCAATCTTCCTTCCTTCAGTATTTACTTCAATATATTTCGGATCGATAATCCTTTAACTTATTTATTATTATTGTTATAAATCCCACTGTCCTATGATGTGGATAAAAATCAATCACCATCACCAGTTAAAGTATAAAGTAGTTCACGGAACAAAGATCTTCCTTCAAAAACGTCAAATATACTTGATTTTTTTATATGTTTTATATATCGAGTATGTAGTGAAGAAAACTCACATTTTCAATCTCCCAAACTGTGCGCGCTCTGTTATGCAAGATGTAAAGAATGTATCTATTTTTGATTTTATTTAAATTTATCCATTTCCGTTTTATTTTTTTAATCTATAAAATCATTTGAAATAACTCAAAAGCTGGTAATACAACAAACTCTTAATCTCTTAGCCATATTCTTCATATAAATCAATGATCTCCATATGAACATGGATTAGATGTAGGTTACTTCGGATGATATCGGTGGAACAAGTCCTTTTTGCAGGCTTCGCCAATGGCCAGCCAGCGCCGCCACAGCCCAGCCGCTGAGGGCAGATTGATTACACACCTGTTGACGCAGAAACCTGTGAAGCAGAAAGGTTCGTTCGCAGGAGGTCGAGGTGATGCCGCACGCTTTCCACATTACTCTCCTCTCAAGGACCAGGACCACACAAATTTAGGGGAGGTTATCAGGCGTCTACCAGAAAATATTAATATTCCCCTTTTGGAAACTATGAAATTGTATTCCTCTCCTGGGAATCTTCAACACATACAATTTTGTTAACAACTTTGACCAATTGTTCACTAAATTCCACAATAACCACATATGTTCCGTGATTTTTTTTTTTATCCCCTTTTTATTTATTTTTCACTTGAATCCTTTTCATTGTTTTCATAGTAGTCCTTTTACTGCTTAAAAGCATTGAATATCCAATGTCTTCTTTCTCTGCTGAGTGGTTCCTCTTACAATTTTTCTAATTATTCCATTTTGGAAATATTGTAATCTTTTCAGAGTTGTTTTGCTGATGTATTCGAACAGAGGTGCACCATACAACAGATCCGGCCGTATTATACTTGTATAGACTAGAAGCTTTAGGCGTAAAGATAAGTTTGTTGTCCGAATTAAATTTTGGAGTCTGTACGTCTTAGATCTTACTGTTTTAATTTTTTTGTCAAAATGTCTAGTAAATTTTAAATCTCTGTCGAAGTGAATACCGAGATATGTTAAGTCAGTCGATAATTTAATACTGTTATTGTTAATTTTGAATTCGTTTGGCATTTTCTTTTTTCCTTTTTGGTATGAAAATATAATTCCTTTCGTCTTTTCAGTGTTAACATCTATGTTTAGGATTTTTAGCTGTTCTGCAATTTTTTCACAAGTTATTTCCGCCTGCTGCATAGCTTTTTTGGCATTCATACTGCTACTTGAGACAGCAATGTCATCAGCAAATGCTGTCACGGTAGCATTTTGGTGTTTAGTTCCCACTATTTCCGCAGTATATAATATGAAAAGAACGGGAGATAAAACAGCTCCTTGGGTACCCCACAAGTGAGATCGACATTATTTGATTTCTCATTGCCAACTTTTACTGATAAGGTACGACGGCTTAGAAATGATTTTAACACTGCGTATATTGTTCAGGACAATCTAGATAGATAAGACGTTGACAGAGCTGATTATGGCAAACCGAATCAAATGCCTTCGGGCATTGATATTAAAGCAGTGGCCTTATTTCGATTTAAGTTTTTTGTAATCTCCATCTGTAGTTTTACCAGAATGTTCAGTGCACATTTGATCTTGAAAACCACTTTGCTCTGGTGGGATCAAATCATTTTGTGTGCAAAAACTTCTTAAGTAGTTCAAAATGATTTTTTCGAATATTTTGGCAATGTGAGGTAACAAACTATATTGTGTTCATCTGTCGTTATATTCACTGCCTATAAGAAACACCAAGCGAGTATCATAAAATATCGACTGTTATACCCGACATGTGAAAGACGGCTATTTTAATGCAGGAGCTATTTAAAGACTTAATTAAAAATCTTAAAATAATCCGATATTTTGGGTATTTTTCAGGACTATGATGACAAGGAATATCTGTAATAATGTTAATAATAATACAAAAGTAAAAGAACTCAAGAAGTAGCTCGATGCAGCTAATCTCTTGTACAGCGCCTCAGAAATGTTCTGGGCGGATCATATCAATTTGAGGCGCTGGATAGAGCTTGAATATGTGGGTTTGGATTTAGATTCACTCTGTCTCTAATTATTAAAAAGATATCTGACAGTTGTTGTGTTAAAATAAATGTTGGTCAGTTTGTAACGTCAGATTAAGCAAGTAAAAGGAGCGTCTGCAATGTTCCAAAGAACTTTGATTTGAGTTGATTGGATTGTTTTCATATTTGACCTCCTTGCTGTTTTCTAGAACGTAATGTACCTAGGTCCTAAGTGGTTTAATGAAAGTTCCTAAATAGATAATTTATTAGTCAGCGATAATTTTTAAGCCTTCAAAGACGCATCGCTGATTAAGTTTTTTTCTTTTCCGTCATATGGTTTGTAAGTCGTTTGTCCAAGTAGAGACCCAAATAGCATACTTTTTCAGAATTTCATGTAGGAATATTGTTGAGAAATTCTTGATGAAAATTAATTTCGAAGATTAAACGAGAAGAAGGCACAACATATTACAATGATTTTCACTCTCTTAACATAGTTACAAGATAACATTCACCAGAAATGTAGTTCCAGGATATTGATGACTTCAAAACATAGAATCTGCTTTTTCAGGCAGTTACAAAGTATCACTTCCTAGTCCTTTTTGATGAAAACTAAAAATCAGTAAAAAAGATCAGAGATCATCCTTACGTTCCAAATTAATTCAATAGTTATAAACCTAATAGTTCTTGTATTAGTTCAAATGTTGATAATGGTTAAATGTATAAGGAGGGTATTTGTATTCAACATTGAACCCCATCTTATATAATATAAGTGAATGGACAAACTGTAACTTTATTATTAGAGGCTCAAGGCAAATATACTTTAATAGCCTCATTAAAAAAAAATGTGCCCTCTTAGTCAAATATAG